TTAGCTCACTGGGTGAGCGTGGTGCTGACAACACCAAGTCAAGGGTTGAGATCCCCTTACTGGTCATCTTTAAAAAAACAAAGAAAAAAAGAAATAAAAGAGAAACCTTCAACATCCATTAAGTGCCCCAGTCCCTACCACTCCCATGTTGATATTACCATTTGTAATATCAAGTGAGGCAGTGGGAGTGGAGAATGAACAAAGAAATTTGTAACTGGTTGTAATCAATTAGTTGTAAACACAACTACACTTGGACTGCTGATATTACTGTTTATTACTGCTGCTGTTGTCACTGTTATTACTCCAGATCTTGGTTCCTTGTACTTTATTTTATCGTAACAGATAAATAAGAAACAAGTCATATAATCACATACCTTGACAGGGCTATCATTGTAGAGCCAAGCAAGAAAATTTGTGGAGTTCCAGTAAGTGTAAGGACTTTCCCACTCGCCATCAGACCAGATCAGATCAGGCTTGTACCTGGGAGACATGTGATCAAGACAAAGTTTATTATCTAATTCATTAACGGTAAAGTCTTGAGAACCAATTGTTGCAACAAATATTTAAAAATTAACCCCCCCCCCATTTTGAGAGCAATAAAAAAATTACCATAATGCAGAGGATGTGAAAAACTGAGATAACAACAAATCACTTTGCTAACATAACCACTGCTTAAAACAAACACAATATTTTGGTGTATTTTCTCTTGATCTTTTTCTTTACGCCTTTTTAGAAAATAGAGTTGTAATCAGTATATATACAATTTGATTTCCTTCCTGCAACTAATTCCCATTAGGAGCAGTGCTACAGAATGATAAGATTAAAGTTTCTGTTTTTAAGATGTGCTAAGAGCTTGAATTATTCCCCAAATGCATTTTTTTTGACAACCACCCAAAGTCTTGACTGTAAAAGATCTATAGAATCCATTTGAGCCCCCATTGTGTCTTTCACATATTATTACGCTGAACCCTATAAGGTGTGTATGTCTGTGTGTGACATATAAATACATATGTATACACCTGTAAGTTAAGCATTATTATTTCCATTTTAGTAGCAAGAATTTCATGCACAGCAGGGCAATTTGTTTTAGGTGACAAAGCCTGTAAGTAACTGAAGCTGGAACTCAAATGCAAATCTGCCTGACACTAAATCTTATGCTGAACTCCATAATTAGGCCATCAAGTAGACTCTAGGAAAAAGATTGCCTATCTAAGTGGCAAGATATAACACAGACAGTCTGTGTTTTACTTTGTACAAGAAATTGTACTAGGCAATTTATACTCATTACTTCATTAGTTCTCAGGACTCTATGGTGTATTGCTATTCCCATTTTGCAGACAGAGAAACTAAGATTTAGAAAGATTAAGTAGTTTGTTCAAGGCCACACAGCCAGTAAGAAAAAAGAACTGGGATTTCAGATCCAGTAATATTTGGATCTTTCCTTTTTTTTTTTTAAAAAGATGACCGGTAAGGGGATCTCAACCCTTGGCTTGGTGTTGTCAGCACCACGCTCAGCCAGTGAGCAAACCGGCCATCCCTATATAGGATCCGAACCCGTGGCCTTGGTGTTATCAGCACCGCACCCTACCGAGTGAGCCACGGGCCAGCCCTGTATATTTGGATCTTTCCAAGCCTCTGCAGGCCTCTTACAACTGTTACTGTTTCCTTAGAGAAGTCATTTGGATAGAATCTGGATACAAGAAGATTTTTGTTCGTTTGTTTTTCTAAAATGAGAGTCCAGGCTGTCTCTTAAGCTTTAAGGGTCCCCCGTCCTCTGTGAGCCCCCAGGTGCAAGAGAGGCAATCTAGGGATAAAACACAGTGTGAAGACTAGTGACAAATCCCAAAGTGAAAGTGATCATTTCAAGAATAATGATAATAACGACACCCTTACTCTGTACCAGGCACTGTGGCAGATACTTTTCACATATTATTCTGAGCCCTACATAGAAGGCATTATTATCCCCATTTTACACAGTGAGAATCTGAGGCTCAGAAGGATGATCTGTTTAAGGCTTGTAAGTAACAAAAGCCAGAACTCAAGTGTAAATCTGCCTGAGGCCAAATCCTACACAGGGTCCATTAGACCACATTGCCCTTCTCTGAGGTCCTGCCACAGGAAAACAGCATGAAGGAGGGAACTAAAGTTTTGACTTGCTATCATCCTGGGTTTTGCATGATTGTTTCACTGTGTTTTTTGATTGTTTCAATTTGTAAAGGCAATAGGACATTACAGAAGTTTTGAAAAGTAGGAGGAAAAAAATATATTTTGCCTTAATACAACCACCACTTTTATTATTTTGATGTCTTCTGAAATTTTTTTCATAGTTGCCCACACCCTCCTCGAGGCCCTTTTAAAGTACCCTACAGGAAGGGCTTATGTCATTGATAAAAGTAATAAGGCCCAAAACATTTCTGTTTCTTACCTGTTAACAAGGTCGTACAGCTCTGGCATTATTTTTGCACTGACAAAATGTTGTGTTTTGAAGTTATTTTTCTTATCAAGCAGGTAGAGCGGATGGAACCACTCTAAAAGTGAGTGGTAGAGTCCATAGCGTATGTTCCTTAAACAGAAAAACAGGACAGGCACAGATAAGAAAGAATCAGAGTTAATTATTTCATCACATGACTTGGGGATTAAATATATACAAAGAAGGTAGAAATCATGGCTCCTAAAGTCCAAATCTAATCAACACGTCAGAGTTTTACAGCAGGACTGTTAGCACAGCACAGCACCAGGAAACTGAATGGAACAGGTGACAGGAGTCAGCAAGCTCTTTCTTTAGAGTCCAGATAGGCTTTGCAGGCCATGTGGTCTCTTATCTCAACTCTCAAATTGTAGCTTGGGCCGGCCCGGTGGCGCACTGCTGCAGTGCGCCGCTTGGGAGCACGGTGGC